ATCGTCACAAAGTATCGGCGGGCCTTCGTTTACTTATATGTCAGCTGTGTGTTGGCTTTATGGTCGTATGATCCATGAAGCCTTAGGCGGTCGACCAATCGGATTAATAGCGACGAGTTGGGGTGGTACAGCTATTGAATTATGGATGCCACCACCAGCATTGAAAGATTGTGGTATTTCATCGTAAGTTTTTGAACGAACTTCATTTTTTTATTCTCACTATTTTATGTTCACAACCAGTAATGAGGCAGTTCCATTACAATCATATGGTCAGTCTTCTGAAATGATCTCACTGAATTACTCTAATCTATTCAATGCAATGATCTATCCTTTTACACGTATGGTCGTTTATGGTGCCATTTGGTATCAAGGTAAAACGATCATAAGTACTTGATAGTTAGATTATTGTAGCATCATTTAGGTGAATCTAATGCTGATTATAATAGAGATAAATATGCATGTGCATTTTCAAAAATGATACAATATTGGAGACAAACATGGAATCAACGTACAAATGGATTAACAGATCCTACGTTTCCATTTGGTTTTGTCCAAGTATGCTTTTTTAAATCATAACTTAGAATTATTTACATTTATGACTTTTGTAGTTATCAACAAATACAGATAAAACTACTCTAGTGGGTGGGTTTCCACTCATTCGATGGCATCAAACATTCGATGTTGGTTATGTACCAAACAGTGTCGTGCCTAAAGTCTTCATGGCTGTTGCTTTAGATTTACGTGATGATCCTAATAAGTAAGTTGAATGAGAACCATTGTATGTGGTATTGTTCGCATGTATGATGTATACTTAGCATTCATCCTCGAACTAAACATGATGTTGGCTATCGGCTATCACGTGCAGGTCTTGCTGTAGCGTATAATCAACGAGTTGAATTTCAGGGTCCCATTGTATCAAGTGTTAGCTTAGCGAGCACTAGCCAAACTGTGAATGTAACTTATAGTGGTGTAGAAAATATTGAGCTACGAAATCCTAATGGCTTTGAAGTGTGTTGTCAAGGTGCCAAGTGTAGTGATGATACTTTATGGGTGCCAGCAACTGTATCAAGTAAAAATGGTTTAACAATAACATTAACTGTCCCTAGTCAATGCGTTGCACTGCAATTGTTTGGTCTTCGATATTTATGGCGTGAAACACCATGCTTATTCAAAGACGCTGCTATTTATAGTTATACAGATCCTAATCTACCGTCGCCACCATTCATTAAATACTTTTAAGAACTATGTATTATTTCCTTTTCGTTTTGCGCTATAGATTAAAAAAGTTTATTTAGTTCCTATATTCATTTTAAATTATACAATGAGTTTTTTGAATCAAATGATATTAAGAGTTTGAAGGATATGGAAGAAAACATCGTTAGTAGATAATTTTTTGCGTGATTGGCTTCTCCTAAGGGTCTTCAGGTGCTGTAAAATGTAGGGAAGTGTAGCAAAAGCGAATTGATAGCAACGAAATTGTATAAATAAAATTCTTTATAAAGACTATGATGAAGTATTAACGTGCAACTATAGCTGATTCGTCTATATGAATCTTGCTAATTGTGTTTTGGTATAAAGCAGAACTCTAAATAGTTGCTGTTTATTTTCTTTGCATTTGAATGGATATTTATATTAAGAATAGGTTTGGTTCATTATGAACTTCATTTATATATAAATTAGAGTTCGCTTCGAGTTGAAACGTTTATAGTGTTGAAATAGAATCTTTATCTGAATATGAAGCAAATTAACACCTGAATTGTTTTTGTTGATATGTCACATTCTAAAATTACAAGACAGTCATGACTTTAACTATAGAAATTTCCATGATATATCAACGCGTCTTATTCTGCTTATATTTTCTTCGTATCTGTAATTACTGTAAGAATTTTACCTTCATGATTTATGATCAAGTTTGTCAAAATTTTGGTACATCATTTCTTTATTTTAAAAAATCCATGCATTTAAGCTTTAAATATTAGTTTGCTCGTCCCTAACATTCATTTCTGATTGAATGTTTTTCGCATCATTTTCTTTCTGATTTTAATACTGTTGCCCTGTTTTTTCTTTATCCTTTCATACTAAACTAAAAGCAGTACAGCTTCATTAATGAGATAAATATCATATTGGAATCCCAAGTAGAATACAAATGACAAGTTAATTTTCACATATCAGTTAAAAAGCACTTGAATCAATCGTAATTTATTAAAAATAAATAAATGAGTAATTGTTGAAGAGCCGAAAAAAGAATCTCTGTTTGACATACAATAACACAATCGAATCAAAAGGGCACAACCCGACATTATGACTCGTCGAGATCAATGAAATAGATCATGTCAACGATGAGGAAAATACAGAATATCAAGAACGCACATGTTCAATCCGACAACATCTATAAAAATAGAAACACAAGCAAACAGATAGACTTCGAATAAAAATCTCAAAAATAGATAAGACAAAGTGCTTTCTTCCCGAAGGTAGCAATACAGCTGTATATGATGAGATTCTAAAATGTGATGGTCCAATTACTTATGAGTATTGTAAAACCACGCTTCATTGTGAATTTTACAATCGATAGTGAACTACTATGAAATAACATATCCTCAGGAAGTTTTAGAATGCAGCCGACAAGAATTTTGATATTGTCTTTTTTCTCACACAAGAACAGTTCACAATGAGTAGTTCGCAATTTCAATTTTTTATTGATTCTATCAACCATCATTCTCACTCGTGAATATTTGTTGATTCATGTATAACTAAACTTCACAGTTGTTTTATTTGAATAGAGTATTCATTTTCGTTCAAAGATTTAATGCATGTATACAATCATACTTAATTGTTTAGTTTGCATGATAGAGAATGAATCATAATTTTAAATTAATTAATAAACTTCTGTCGCATAAATAAAAGGTTTTTCTTTTTGTTAGTCAAATCCTTTGAATTCAACTTTTATCTAGTATAGCTTTCATTCATAGATGAGATCTCATTTGTATAGAAATCTTTTCTTAATTGCCTGTTTCTTATAATATTCGATTACTACAACAGATTCAGTTACTCTTCATTCATATTTCTATTTTGACTTCTGTCTAATCGAGAGATTATATTTGGACCGTCTACGAAAATCATATACAGAGCTAAATAACTGAACCTTATAAGTTGAAAGGAAAATGCTAAATATGAACGAATGGTGTGCTAACTATAAATAATAGTTAGTCATTTCTTTTGTGTTGCCGTATGTTATATTTTCATGTTTTATAGACGATAGCGTAGTATTTTCTTTTATTAATTAAATTTCAAAAACAGAAAGCTTCTTTGGGCGTTATCTTTATCACGGAAGCTAACAGGTTTATTTATTATCGTTTATTAGATTTCACATATAGCGAAGAGAAAATAGCTTTTCCAAAAATGAGATTTACTGAAAACATGTCAAAACAATTATAATGTAGAACATTCCCTTCCATGCGATATAGTGACAGTGATTGATCCTTGTTAGTATGTCCTCGAGAATGTGACCGAAGTGTCTGTTTTTGTTGTTGATTTAATTTATAAGTTAGGCGCACTACGCACAAATCATAGAAAATTGTATCTTCATCATGTTCTGTTCGTATTTCTGCATGCTTCTTGTTAATAACATTTCGTTATGATATTCTTAATGCGAAGTATATATAATAAAAAGCTTATTACAGTAGTGTCACATTATTTTGTCTTAGTTAAATCCGCAAGAAAATATTTATATTCAGATATTTGTTCTAGACAAAACTGACTTTAAAAAAACGTTGCTTCGACGAAATTGTTTTTTTGTTTTAAATATTGATGAGTGGTTTTAGTTGTTAGTGAAAGTTTAAAACAGTAAAACATGTACGTTTCTTAATTAAGTGAGCATAGTACTTGTTTTCCATTTACTTAGACTTCGATGCATGGAATACTAAATTTTAAGATAAATAATAATAAAATGATATTCGAAACTAGGTTTATGAGGAAGGCAATCATTTTTTTAATATTTAATTCAGACAAAAGACGATTATGGTTCTACCCGATAGAATATTTGATTTTAAAAGGAAAATCGATGTACGTTTTCACTATTGTCTGTGTTATTAGGTGAACTTCAAGCCTAAAAAAATCTTGCCAGAAAACTAATCTCTGGATAAATCGCAAGCTTAAATCAGTATTTTATTCAATGTAAACGGCACATGAGGTGCGCACTATCAAACATTGATTTAACTTCTTGCTGAGATTCGTTGGCCTACCCTAGATGTTAACTTCTTTCTTCAGGGTGAATGTAGACAGAAAAATAGATTTTCTCTTTCTAACTACACATTATTTGAGAAAAAATGAATTGAGTAAAACATATTTTAGCAAAACAAAAAAGAAACTTAATAGAAGATTTGAGAAATCATTTTAAATTAAACTCACTCTGACTTTTCGTAATAACATGTTTCTCCAGAAAACTTCTCTTCCGAACCACTTCAACAGTTTCCAATCTTTTAAAAGATTAGATGACTGCTATTGAGTTGATATAAAATCTTATAAACGCAATATCCAAAAAAAGATCAGTTGGATTCCGACGAAAACCTGTTAAAATCAGAATGACTGCTGTTTTTACAGTAGATTTGAAAACTATAATATGAAATATTAGTATATTTTCGATTTCATGTTGGCCAGACAGAAATGTACGATTGTTCTCTATTGATGTGAGCAGGAACTGTCTAAAAGAAGTAGAAAATAATTAAAAACAAATAAAATAATATGTTTCACAGTAAATATGTCATGTTCGACTTTAATTTTTAGTATTTTAAGTCTTCTATCGTTTTATAATATTAGTCAAGTATATACAATGCATCTTATCGTTGGATACATCATTTTGCTCTCCTTTTTATTTGCTATTTTTACGGAAGAAGTATATTGAACCATCATTTTAAATATAATCAAGTAATTAGCTTATATCGATAATACTATATTAAGTGATCATAAATATCACTTTTGACCACAAAAACAAGACGCATATATGGTTGTCTAATCATTATAGCAAGCGATTAGGATGCATACTTATTTCTCTTCTATTCATCAACTCGGCTTTATTCTCGGCAATACTTTCGCTCAATGTCAAATTACACAAATTATTTTATCGATACTACTTCGGAACAACCACTCTCTGTTTTATATTGAGTGAAGTTTTCAATTATGATTTGCTAGGTAAAATAACATTTAAGCAAGATGATTTTTTTTTGAATAAAAATAAAACTACGAAATGATTTTTTCATTATTTTGTTAACAACACGACAAGCATCATCCGGAGATGATACTCGAAGCTTTTTTTATGAACACACCAAAAGAACTTCTCCATTTTATATTAACGAATTTAGACAGGAGAGCAATGTTATTCTTTAGAATTTAACACATGTTGCCACATATGCTCGTATCGCCACTGGTTTAATGGCAGTAAATTTCTGATTGGAGTACAATTAGCCTTATGTCGTTGTAGAAGGATAGTTACAAGATAGCTGCAATTTTAATATTATATTATTAGTGGGTTTTCTCCTTCTTGAATCGCATAAGATGGTTTATATGTGTGATACTTGAAACTTTCGCTCAATAAGAATCAACAAAATAATTTCCCAGTATTTTTATGTGTTACCAGGTAAAATTCAAGACCATATAAAGAGCAATAAAAACCTAATAATCGAACAAATAGTAAGCGTCAAGCAGTATTCTATCCAGCATATATGAACTCCCGAAAATCGATTTTGCCGCCTAACCGGAAAGTCCAACTATATAAAGCACTACCTTGAAATGTCTTCCTGTTATTTTGATCATACGAATTATGAATTCAAAATTTTAACGAAATTACTCATTTAATCTATATTTTTGTATCGCAAAACTAATATGTTTACTTAAAAAAGACATTGTTTTTATTATTTACTCTCATGAACTATAATAGTTTCATCTTCAAAAGAAAAACATGTAAATTTAGAAAAATTCAATAAATATAAATTAAAAATAATCATTTCTTTCGGTCTATTTCAAAATCAAATGAATTTAAAACTATGCCTTTTTTTCCCAAATCTCAACTTTATCTGTCATATAAGCATATATATTATTAGTAGCAAGACATGTCAAGAACAACAATAATTCCGCGTCAATTGTGTAGTAGATTGATTGTTTATTCCTATAAAACAAGAAAAATACCACATTTGTTTTTGTTATTGTTTTCTTTAAACATACTTTTGTAATTGACGCAAGTTTCCGTTGTATTGAATATGCATCTTTACCTTCGCCATCATAATATGAATTTTGATCATGAATTCTAATGTCAAAAAATGAGTAGAATTCGTATCTCATTTTTCTTCTTTTTTAAAATGACTGACCTACAGCTAAGTTCATCATGATAAAGAAGATGTCATCTTACTCGATAATTAACACAAACGTATCATCGAACATATTTAGTATTGAAATTTGCTAACATTGCTCGACTTGCTTGCTTCATTAGTTGTTGTGATAAACCTAGACAACAATCTGTTCATGCACAGCATAAAAATCGACTAAAACAATTATAATTCTTTAATGTGGAATTGTACCCTGTAAAGTCATCTTTGCTGAAAGTAAGACATCAAACAAAAAACAAAAAATTGTTTTCATTTTTGCTAGAACATAACCGACACTCTTTTCATTATCGTCTTTTGCAACATAAAAAATCTGATGATTTTCATATGAACACATTCAATTACAATTTTACATCTTTATTCAATGTTCAGGCTATCGGAATAATATTTTTATTCGATTAAACAAAGCAAAATTTGCTTACAGTTGCATTATTTATGATCATTCGATTTACTTATTTTGAACTTTAAACAAGAATATTTTTCAATCGAATTATTAGTTGATTCATCAAAACCCATAGAAAGATTGATATTTCTACAGATCAATGAATATATCATCATGGTTAAAACAATACTCAATTAGTTCGTAAGAAATCATGTAAAAACAAAGAAAATATATCGTTATCATGTCTATCGAATAAATACACGAACTAAATTTGTTCAACTATATATAAATGTAGTCTGTAACGATTTTCAATGAAATTAATTGCTTGTATTAGATAAAATTCGGTCAGTTTTTCCTATTTTGTCACATTGAAACCAATATTTTTTCTTACATTAGATTGTCAAAAACTCGATGAAAGAATTCTACACACTCAGTTAATAACCGATAAGATATCAATCAAGTCAATAATTAAAGTTAATTGAAATAAACGAAATAAAATATCTATCTATCTATCTCTCGAATTTACAAATGTAAAACTGTATTGGTAAATATTTACTACCTATGAAACAATTAAACTTACCAAAAATCTGCCAGTGACATCTATAAACATTTAAAAATCTCTTTCTATGCAGTTAATTTCTTTATTAGAAATTTTTAAGATAGTTTTTCTTTGTTTTTCATTAAAATTCAGTTGATTAATTTCTCAATTCTAAACGAACGTGAGAGTCGAGAGTAACATCTTGAGTGGAGTTTCACATTCTCTCTAGATGCATCATGGCTGTTGCTTACGTCGGTGCATGTATGAGTTCGGATTGAGAAAAACTCAACATTAACAAATAAACATATACCAATAACAACTCATATAAAATGATCATTCATATAATGTCATCTCGAATTCTTAATTACTTTGAAATATCTTTAAGATCGACAATGCGTCGACGACGACGCCTATTTTAATGGCCAACACTGGCCAGAATCAACAAAAACAAAACGATCATCACCAAAAACTAAAATATCTATATTTCCATTATAACAATAAAAACACGAATAATAATAATAATAATTCGCCTGGTCTCTTCAACAAAGTACCATCATCACCATCTGTATGCACTTCGACACACCAACAACAAAAACAACCGGTGATGAATTCGTCGACATCTCCTTGGTATCATTCATCAACACTTGGCGGTGATAACGACGATTCGTCATTTTGTGATGGAACGAATTTAACTACCATGACGAAACCATCATCATCACTTTCATTGAATACCGACTCTTCAAATACACATCAACAATCATATGAAAATAATGGACATTTTTTTGTTAAAAAAACATTTCATAAACCAACTTATTGTCATCATTGTGTCGAAATGTTATGGGGTCTTATTGGGCAAGGATACTACTGCGAAGGTATATCAAATAAATTCATTCAATTGAATGAATAATCTTTTTTGTAAAATTTTTAGTATGCAATTTTATTTGTCATGATCGTTGTCGAAGGCATGTCATTTCGCCATGCTCAAGCATTGCACCTATATTAATCAAAGTAAATATTTTTATTTATTTATTTATTTTATAAATCTATCTATAGCTGAAGTTTATATGGTAGCATGTTTTAGAAGGCAAAGAATTAAATAGATTTAATTGAATAATATTTGTCCATTCAAATTGAAGTATTGATTATTGAATGTTCTATTTAGTCAATTACAAATCATTGACTCTTCGGATCCTTAGAATGGGTATTTGTAAACAGAGAAAGAAGATGTGAACTTTAAAAACAAAATTGGAAAGATATCCTTTCTTTCATTTGTATAGACTATTAATTGTTTAAAAAAATGTGTTTGTATAGATAAATTAATATGTTTGATAGTTAACAATAGCAATTTTGTACTGTTGATATCAATACTAATGGAGAGTTTTATAGGTACTAGTAAGAGGAGACATAATAAACTACAGCATGGTCACTACATATTTTTCTGACAATTTAAACTTTTGTTTTTCGTCACCTATAATGGTATGTATAAAATGTATCCACATGCTATGGCATGTCAAAGTGAATCATGCTCTACAAAATCGGAGTTTCTCGAGGTCTATACAAATTTTCTTCATGAAACTATGCCAGAGCTACGGAATGCCTCACGGGCAAAACTCACCAAATGATACAGCTCTTTTCAGCCGACAGTGTGTGTTTTGAATAGAATTTCGAGTGATCATTGGATATTTTGCAAAACATTTATGTCGTTCGTTAATTTTTGTATAGATTCTGTAAATTCATCATAGTTTATACTGTGAACTCGTTTAGAAATACTTTTTCAACAGTGTAGTTCAGTATAAAAATTTCTAGTCTTTTGATGTGCTTCTATCCCGAAATAGGAACATCAATACTGCTCATATACATAAACGAAGAAGAAAAAAATACGCCGTTCTTCATAATAGAAACAATGGAGAAATTTTTGCAAAGTTGGAAAAACTATTCTTGCTAATGACTATCTTTGCATAAAATTTTGATTTCGGCATTAAATGTTTCTGAAATATCCAAAGAATACATCTGATAAAATAGAGTCTAATTCCAATACATATTTATCGCTCATTTGTGTTTATATAATGTGATCTTAGAAAGCGACTCATCGGTGTGTGAACTTCGCTTGTCAGATTGAAGTTTCAGTAAAATCGATCTGTTCATATCATGAGATACAGAAACAGTTTTTTTCCCACAGTTATGCGATCATGGACTCTGCGAAAAATCTGATAGGCGAGAAGCAATTAATAATTAAATATTACTCTAGTTCATTTTTTCTATAATTTACAAGCCACAAATTTAGATTATTTCCATCAGTGACCCGAGTAAAAGTAACGAGGTCATTTTTGTAATTTTTTTGTCAAGAACTATTTATATTCATCTAAATGATTCTAAGGTGCGCGTAATTCAAAAATCGAGTAAATTTTTTTTCTCTTTATTTATCTATGGTTAGATAGAGCTCATTGAACTCTACAAAATTGTATATTTGAAAAAAATTTCAACTCCTTTTGTTGACTTAAAATATAAAAAGAAACTTGATTTTTTGAATAATCAGCAAAATATCCGTTTTTTTCAAAAAAATTATTTTTTTTGGACTATTTTCATTGTTTTGCAAGCTCGAAAGAATTGGTTTCGGATAGAGCATGTAAAACTGCATATAAATGATATGAATTTGAAAATGAAGTATGATTGTTAAGGTATGCTAGGAGGCTAGACTTTTGGGCTTCTACGACCGTTTCATGCAATCGACTCGAGTAAATTGCAAAAGTATGTAGTCTCGCTAGCTTGGATATTCAGCCAAGATTTTCACTTCATTTTATTCAGGATATGGCAGGGAAAAAAGTTACATATGATTTTATTTTTATTCCACACCGTTGATGAGAAATTCAATTTTCTCGAAATCTCAGAAGAATTGCTTAAAATCTTAGTTTTTATTCGAGATTTTGACCGTTAAAAAACATTTTCAAGTAAAATGGATACGATATTCGGAATCAGCATAAAAAATTGCATAAAACAATATCAATTTTATTTCAAAATATTTTTCATATGAAATTAGACCTGAGGGGGAGCACAGGCGGAATCACTTGAAAAAAGAGCTGAGGGGTAGTACAGGTCATATTTTTTATGAAAAGCATTTTGAGATGAAATTGATATTGTTTTATGCAATTTTTTATGCTGATTCCGAATATCGTATCCATTTTACTTGAAAATGTTTTTTAACGGTCAAAATCTCGAATAAAAACTAAGATTTTAAGCAATTCTTCTGAGATTTCGAGAAAATTGAATTTCTCATCAACGGTGTGGAATAAAAATAAAATCATATGTAACTTTTTTCCCTGCCATATCCTGAATAAAATGAAGTGAAAATCTTGGCTGAATATCCAAGCTAGCGAGACTACATACTTTTGCAATTTACTCGAGTCGATTGCATGAAACGGTCGTAGAAGCCCAAAAGTCTAGCCTCCTAGCATACCTTAACAATCATACTTCATTTTCAAATTCATATCATTTATATGCAGTTTTACATGCTCTATCCGAAACCAATTCTTTCGAGCTTGCAAAACAATGAAAATAGTCCAAAAAATCAAGTTTTTTTTAATATTTTAAGTCAACAAAAGGAGTTGAAATTTTTTTCAAATATACAGTTTTGTAGAGTTCAATGAGCTCTATCTAGCCATAGATAAATAAAGAGAAAAAAATATTTACTCGATTTTTGAATTACGCGCACCTTGCTCAATTTAACATTCTAATGAATCCTACCTACATAAAGAAAAGAAAAATACTACAAATCATTCAAATCTAAAAATAAAATATTTTGTTTTCACAAGAAAATGTATGCAGTTAAATACAAAATCATCTAAATTTACTTTTTAGAATCCAGTGTGCCACATATGGTCGGATATATCCCGGTTTAAACGTAAATTTTGCAATATATGTCGAAAACGGCTTGAAGACATTACAGCTGTTCGATGTGAAGGTATGTCATTTTCTCTCTATCTGTTGTCAATAATAATATATGTTGTATTGTGTTCAGACATATTTTAAGAAATTATATCAGGTAAAAATTGTTAGCTAACTAAAAAAACGTTACATACTGCTAATC